AAGGGAGCAAACTGGGTAGAGATGTATATATGAAGCCCGCAAATTGTGGTTTCCTTCTTAATTTCTTCTCGAACCATACTTAAGGTGTGAAGTAGGCGTAATTAAATCAATGATAATAAGGAGTTTACGTTTAGCGGGTGCAAATCATCAAGTACACGAGTTAGAAAGGCTAAGAAAAATCTTAGTTGGGAACAGTTATCCTATAGAAGTAATTGTTAAGAATTTAAAAAAATTGAGAAATAGGATGAAGGAAAACCATTAATTTGGCCAAAATAAGGAATTAGACAAATCTTTCGCCAGGTTCCTAATGCTACCATTTAGCAAGCTTTCAGGAAAGGGGGAATTGAGTGTCAAGAAAATGTATAAAAAAACAATAAAGCCTTCTAACTAACGCTTCTAAATAGGATGAGAGAGAGAGAAGAAAAGGGAACAGGAAGAGCCACTGAGTAAGAGAAGACTCGACTAGGCTGGAGATTATTTTAGAACCTAAAATCGTAAACGAATTCGGGGTTGTTGCATACGCACGCAAATACGCATCCAAGAAGCCGTAATCAGATCCAGAACAACTGGATCATACTCTAGTTTATTTACATTGACAAAAGTTGTGACCGGATCTGCTCCCCTGCCTATATCACTTTAACCCAGTTAAGTGCATATTGGACAAGCATACGTCAGCCAACCAAATCATGGAATGCCTCATTAAGATCACAAAGTGAGGTATAAGAAGTAATTAGGATCTCAGCTGTCCACCCTTTCTCGGTTTAGTGTATTTTGGTGATTTTGCGTCAACAATGGTTTCTGACTCTGACGATGTTCGTCTCAGGACGGACGAAAGCTCAGCACAGTGTCATCGGGGTCGTAAGAGTGTAAGCCGAGGCCCTCTTCGCACAATTCAACAGACCATAGTCCAATGCAACCCTCCTGCAATATCGGGTAAGGCCAATCTTCGACCCGCCTTCTCAAACGCCTGTTATTAATTATTTATTATATTTCAAATGTCGTAAGTGTGGATTTTTTATTATCCTTATGTAATGCAGACGAGTGATTGTTTCATTCATTTCGTTTCACATCTTTTCATTCACTCACTTATCTCCACTCTGTCCCTATCACCAAATTTCATTGCAGATTTGCTTACAAAGCGAAAGATAACCTATGAGGACGTCTTGTCCGCCAGTAAGGCTGGAGGTGGCTTCTTCCGTTTTATCCTCTCAGTGGTCGGCTTCTGTGATGTGGCCAAAGAGGTTAGACCAAAGCGAGAGCGTGTGCGTACACTGGAACGTGAATACTTACGAGCCAAACGTGAGTTACAAAGGCTCACAGACGAGTTGACCCAACTTGAGGAGATGTTGCGCACATTAAAGCGCCAGTTCGCTGCAGCGCAGATGGAGATGGAACGGCTGGCTGCAGAGATGACTGTTATGCAGCGCCAATTGCTGGCAGCTCAGAAACTAACGGCAGGCCTGTCATCGGAGAAGGAAAGGCAAGAGAAATGTCTTCACTACTGACCGGTTCAAATTAATTAGACATGTTGGCTATGAATATGCAGGATCATACAGATTATGTATTTTAGGTCTAAATACACATGCTATATACTAACTATTTAAAAGGCATAACAGGAACCTAATCGGCATTAAGAAACAATTAATCTGGTCTTATTTACTCCTTCGGAATAGTGTTGTCAATATCGATGAATTTTTGTAATAATGGAAACAAAACAAGTAGATGGACGTCACAGGGCAGATGTGAATTTTAAGGAAAACCAAGCCTCTTGCCACATCATATTCTTTGGTAGGATTTTAGATGAAGCAAACGCATATTTACTCTTACAATCACATATTACTGATTAACTGGTAGTCTCGAAACTCTAATTAAATACAAAAAATAAGTAACGTAGTCGAATGCTATATCAAATATACGTTTGCTCCATTGAGAATCCCACTAAAGAATATGATATGACAAAAAGCCTGGCCTTCTTTGAAATTCACATCTGCTGTGACTCAAGGGCACTCGTGCCAATTTGGCCGAGTGGTTAATGTGTCAAGCTCACATTCTGCACTGTCACGGTTTGACTTCCGCTGGGGGTGTTGATAATGCCGATGTTAGGTCGAAACTGCAGTCCACCCTGGAGGAGAACAACTTTTGGGAGAGCAAGGCTATTTGAAATTCAATGGAAACCTCAGCTTTACTCATATCATTGTGGAAAAATTCTACTACCAGTCCTTCATCACCTTAAACGAATCTCATATTATGGATTTACTAGTAGTCTCGAAACTCTACTTAAAGATCGTATAAAATCACTGCCTGGCTGCCTGAAATCTTGCTACCTATGGCCCTTCAATTAAGTCCCAATTTACGTCACATTCGAGGATTTAGAACCGGTGTTGCCTTTGCAAAGACATCTTCTTATCCCT